ACCCCCAGTCCTTTCCCCCTTTATTTTCTCCCTTCCTCCGAGTTTCCTTGGAATCCCAACTATTGTTCATGCCATTTCCTGTCCATGGAGCCAGAAGTCCTATGCCCCAGATTTTTGCACTGTACTTGGGTCCCACAGTTCCTCTCCCACTGTTCTCCCAGGCACCCTCAAAGCCCCGCTGCAGAGGCCCTGGCCCTCAGGACCCCGACTTCCCGTTCCCCACCCCCCACCTCCACCCTCCCTCAGCTTTTCTGTGTGTGGACCTGGCCAAGCTCCATTCTGCCTCAGGGCCTTTGCCCATGCTCTGCCTGCTGCCTGAGCACTCACTGCTCCTGAGTCTGGGTCAGGGTCTCAGCCTCAGCCCTGCTGACATTTTGGGCTGGATCGTCCTTTGTGGTGGGGACATCCTGTGCACTGTAGACATTTAGCAGCATCCCTGACAGTGGTCACATTCCCTCCCCTGGTTGTAATCACAGAAAAATTGCCAAGTGCCCTCTGGGGACCAAAAACACCTCCAATGAGAACTTGTGCCTACAAGGTGTGAGGCAGGACAGAGGACACAGGGACAGGAAGAAAGAACACATGGGACAAAATGAGAGCAGCCATTTATTAAATTCTACTTCCCATGATTTAATGTCCAGATTTGAATTGCACTCCCGCCTACCTTGACCGCCAACAAAACTACTCCGTCAGCTATCCGACCTTACCCGCAGGTCCTCAGGTGACCTCTCTCTCCACCTGGCTTAGAGGAAACAAGTCCAAGGCTGCTTTTTGCTCAACAAACAGGTTTCTCTGTCATTTCCATTTTGGGGATCTGATCACTCCATCCATATATCACACTCCCGATAAAACCCTCAAGGTCACACAAATCTACTGTTTAAATTCACTGAAAGAGAAGAAAGAGGAGGAGGAGAAACCCAAGTAGGTCATGATCACCATGTCACGCCACCAGCACCCTCGTAGGTGGCGTTTACAGACCGCACACGCCAAGGCACCGTCTCCAGCGCCCGTCCCTCGAGAGTGTGGACTTCCTGCCTTCAGGTCATAAGATCAATCTCTGTCTTATTCGACCCATCCTTAAATTCTTTTCTTTTCTTTTTTTTTATTTTTTTACTATCTTTGTTCTTATGTGGTGCTGAGAATCGAACCCAGGGCCTCACACATGCCCAGCGAGCGCTCTACCACGGAGCCACATCCCCAGCCCCTTTATGCAATGACATCCAGGACCCTCATGGCCTGAGCAGAGGTCCACCTCCCTTTGGGGACCTCCTCAGGATGCTCCACCGAGTGACATGGGGTCTCTTGCCTGTCCCCTTTCTGCCTCTGCTCGGGGCTTGCAAAAGGTCTCAGGAAGGGTTCATGGTGCCACTCTGCAAGCGCTGAGTCATTCCTCCTCCCACGACAGCCCCTTTGGGCTGAGGACACTGTGGTCCAGGGAACTTACTGGACTCGCTCGGGGTCTCCACGCTGTTGGAGAAATGAGCCTCCACTTCTGGTGACTTCTGCTCAGGAAGCAAACCTTCCCGCGTGGCCCCTTCCCTTTTCCTGCTCCCTCTCTGCCCCTCACCCCCAACTTGGGCCGCTGCAGAGCCCCAAGGCAGAGTTGCTGCTCCCGTCCCCACCATCACTTCTGGGCTGTGTTTTGCGGATGGAGAGAGCAGATCTGCCCAACAGGAGCACTGCGATCCCCAAACCTCCACACGATGATCCAGGCATAAACTTTTTCTCCCCAGCCATTCTTTTCTACCCTTTCTTTTTTGTCCTCTACCTCTGAGACCTGACTCCAAAGCGGCGTCCCCACCCAGTGGCTGAGAAATGGTTGAGAGTTAGGGGTTGCAGGTTATGCCCAACTGCTGCTGTGTGTCTCTGGCCTGAGGCTCCACCTCTCTGGGCTCCGGTTTCTTCATCTGGAATGAAGTGGACACACAGACATTCATGCTCAACTCACAATAATTGTGCACCTACTATGCACCAGACCTGTGTGGGCATGATGGGAACAAGGCAAATGTACACTTGGCTTTTGGGGCTCTAACCCAGTCTGATGGGGGAGGCAGCCAGAAAGAAATCAGAAACATAAAGGTGGGAGCTGGTCAAAAGGGGACCTGAGCTAGTGGAAGAGCAGAGTTCCTGGAGGAGGCCACCATCTAAGAGGAGTAATTTAAGCAAACAGAGAGGAGAGGGTTCCGTAGTGGAGGAAATGGCCAGTGCAAAGATCCTGGGGTGGAATGCCTTTGGCAGAAGAGCTTTAAGGAAGGAGAGCAGGTGCTACAAAGAGGAAACGATGTCGAGAACAAAATAAGGGCCTTATGGAGGTAAGGGGAGAGGAGAACAAGAAAAGAGAAGGGGAAGGTGGGCTGGCCAGGAGAGAAGACGGGGTGGAGAAAAAGGGAGAAGAGGGATGGGGTTCTAAGAGCCAGCAGCAGCCTGGATCGCACTCCCGTTGTAAGATTGCCCCCTAGCGGCCACGTGGAGAAGACGCGCGGAGATGCGCTGGTCCCGCTTCCCGCCCTCGAGGCGGTTCACAGAAGGGGCTGCCCTCGGTTAATCAAGAAACCTACCGTCTCCCAGGGACAGAATGTGGACAGCAGCCCCCAGACCCTCCCCATGGCCCTACTTCGCAGGTGCGGCCTTTGGAGCTTCCCGCAGATGTGCTCCCGACTCCCACCGAGCCCGAGGCTACTGCTGTCCCCATTGCATAGAGAGGGAAACCGAGGCCCAGAGGGGAGCTCGTGGGACACAGAGGCAGGACTTGTACCCAGGCCCTTTCTTGTGACCTTCAGAATGGGTTGACCCCTGGAGGGGGTCCAACCCCTCCCGTAGGACTCGGGAAGCCACAGGGTGGGGCGGAACCGTGGGTGTCCCTGGCGCCCCAAGGTGCCAATTAAATGCTCGTGGCCGTCTGGGACCAGAGCTGGGGACAGCGGCATGGCCGAACCGGGGCCGGAGCCCGGGCGCGCGTGGCGGGTGC